AAAAAAAAAAAAAAAAAAAAAGAAAGGGTAATTCAACTAAAAGAGAACACTTTCTTTGTTTGGGGGGCATTTTTTGAGACAGGGTCTCACTATGTAGTGAGACTGACCAGAACTCACTGTGAAGCCCAGGCTAGTCTTGAACTCACAGTGATCCTCCTGCCTCAGCCTCCTTATTGCTGGGATTACTGGCAAGCGCCACCATGCCCAGCTAAAAGGAATACTTTCTAAAAATAAATAAAAAGTTTGGAATTCAAGTCTCACATACCAAAAAAATATATTTTATTACTCTTAATGTTATTCAAAACAACTTAAATTAAGGCCAAATATTCATAAGAAGTATTTCCCCTATCTCATTAATCAAGCAGCTATTTAAGAAAATAATTTATACAAATGTTTATAGTTGAAATAAAAATAAAATGGTTTATTTAGAAAGGGAAAGATAAGAACATTAAGTTGAGAGCAATGTAAAAATCTTGCTTGGAATGTATGCCCAGGAATCTTTTGAAGCCAAAATGAGTTGCCAAGATTTTTATGCAACTTATGACTGTGTGGACTATCTAAGGCTGATTTTAAAACTGGTTTTAGTCAGCTGGATCCATGATCCTCGACCTGACAATCCCTGCGGCCAACACAACCACTGCAGACACCTTTTGTTGTTCACGGTGTTTAAATAAAGAGCCTTTTCTTTTATTAGAAAGAACTGAGCAAAGTTAATGCAATCTATTAAATGCATAATGTACATTTTCAAAATTACTCCCATTAAAACACTTATTTCCCAGATTGAATAACCAGTTACTGCAGGGCAACTATATATATTTTTAATCTTAAAATCAGCATGCCTGAAAAAGTCCAGAAAAATGAAGGAGGCTATCACCATCAATACCAATTATTCCAAACAACTTGTGATAACTAATTTTTCTTCACTAGCAATGTCTGGAAATGCAATCTTGAGTTTACACTGAGATTTGCTCTCTACCAACCATAGCTCTGCATAAAAATGGATCACATTATTAAGTGACCTCCAATTCTTGTGAACAGGGAGCAACAAAAATCCATGGTTTGGGCAACAATATTGAACGGGAATGTTGCTGGCTGTTTCTCACAACCTCAACATATTTTTGTGTCCAAGAATCTATTGTGCCATCTGCAAACAACAGAGCTCCCGCTCAG